AGGGAAGGGAAGGGAAGGGAAGGGAAGGGAAGGGAAGGGAAGGGAAGGGAAGGGAAGGGAAGGGGGTGCTACCAGAGCAGGGAGTCGAGCCAGGCTTTAAATCAGTGAATCCTCCCCTTCCTGGGCATCAACCAACAAGTTCTTGAAGAAAAGTCCTTCCCTTCTCCCCAGTACAAACACTGCTTTCCACAGCACTGCTCTCGGCAAGCCATTACCTACTTCCTCGCAAGCATGCAGAGGCAAAGATCATTTCAGGGGAATTCCTTGGTGAAAACACAGGGGCTTTTTTCCAGACAAACTGCTACCATTTGCAGGAATTCCTTCTGCCACTGTCAAGCACGTTGCTATTACCTCACCCGTTCCTGTTCCCATTAGATGCAATCCCTCAGCTCGATTTGCAATTGCCCAAGGTAAGGATGGTTCAGGGATGCTGCCCAGGACCTGCACCTCGGTGCGTGGCCCTGCAAATGGGAACGCATCCAGCCACAGCCTCGTGTATCGCAGCGTCTGATGTGAGAGAACGGCGCAGCAGTGCTTGTTTCAGCTTTTTACAGCATGCCAGACACTCATTTAAAGATTAACAGAATTCAAAGGCAGAACAATCCCTCTGGCCGCCTCTCAGGGGCAGAAAGGCTTCTACCCCAAAAAGCTAATCCAGACCAAAAAAAATAAATATTAGGGTAGATTTTATCTGGTACCAAGTCACAGGTCGTTTAAAAATGACTTTATTTCTGGGAACCAGCTGTCTCCCAAAAATCCAGTTTGCCCTGGATCTGACCCTGATGTGTAAGCAAGCGTAGCCTTTGGGCTGCTGTATTTCACAACAGCTGACTACAGCCGCTCACAGGTCCCAAACCCCACAAGGGTCATCACAGGGGAGCACAGACGTATTCCAGCAGCATGATATTCCTCTACATAAAAGCAGCAAGAAGTCACCAAAGGAAACAGTTTATGCCAAACCTTCCCATTTTCCAAATTTCAGCTGTGTTCAAGACAGCCCTTTGCAAAAGGATTCAAAACAATATGCAAAATCTGAACCACAGTCTTGACCGATACCACCTCTCAGCACGTCTTTAAAGAGCACACCAGGAACACGGCAAACTGTTACACAGATCACACTTCTGTGAAATTTCAGGCTTTTGTGGACTGGAGAGGAATTTTCTTACTTTAGGTTACGTTAAACCAGCAAACATCACAGGAACCGACAGCAGGAGCTCCTAAGGGGCCCATCTCCAAGGAAACTCAACTCTAAATAACTAAAACTCACACCTTATTTATTTTGATGCAGACTTGCCAAAGGCCACTCTTACTCGAGAGCCGAGGTGTGGTTTATTTCAACATCAGTCACATTTAACACAAACTGCTCTTGCGTGCAGCGACAGCAGCAACCCAGCGGCTGATCGAGCTTTTGTACTCAGAGGGGAGCAGACGGCCTCAATCCCACCTCAATCCCACCTCCAAAGCAAAGACAAACCAGTTTCCAGACTGGTAGCAGTGGAGAGCCCGAGAACAGCCCTGCAGAAGTCACTTCAGCCCAGCAGGCCAGTGGGTGCTAATGCACGACCCACTGAATCGCAGCAAGTGATTTAAGAAGTCTGAGTCAACATTGCAGAGCAGTGGTCTCCAACTCCACTGGAAAGATTTTAGGCATCTCTACATTGAAAACCTGCAATTAAATTGACCAAGTCACAAATATAAGAGGATTGCCTAGCTTCAATGCACACTTGCACCAAATACTGAGCCTTATGTATGATCAATCACGCCAGTCACAAATATAAGAGGATTGCCTAGCTTCAGTGCACACTTGCACCAAATACTGAGCCTTATTTATGATCAATCACGCTCTCCACAAGAAAAGGCAAGACTGATCCATCTGTCAGGAGGTGAAACAGGGGTGCAAGTGGAAAAGAACATATGAATTTCCAATAAAGCATTAAAAATACTGAAGTGCTTATACCCAGATGTCAAAAGCAGAAAATAACTGGTACGCTCTCACAATTAATCTGTTTCACCAGAAAAGCACTTCACAGAATCACAGAATCCCAGACCGTTAGGGATTGGAAGGGCCCTCCAAAGCTCATCCAGTCCAATCCCCCTGCCGGAGCAGGAACACCCAGATGAGGTCACACAGGAAGGCGTCCAGGCGGGTTTTGAATGTCTGCAGAGAAGGAGACTCCACAACCTCTCTGGGCAGCCTGGGCCAGGGCTCTGTCACCCTCACTGAGAAGAAGTTTCTTCTCCAATTTCAGTGGAACCTCCTGTGTTCCAGTTTGTGTCCGTTACCCCTTGTCCTATCATTGTTTGTCACCGAGAAGAGCCTGGCTCCATCCTCGTGACACTCACCCTTTAAATATTTATAAACATGAATGAGGTCTCCCCTCAGTCTCCTCTTCTGCAAACTAAAGAGCCCCAGCTCCCTCAGCCGCTCCTCAGAAGGGAGATGCTCCACTCCCTCCATCATCTTTGTAGCCCTACGCTGGACTCTCTCCAGCAGTTCCTGTCCTTCTTGAACTGAGGGCCCAGAACTGGACACAATATTCCAGATGCGGTCTCACCAGGGCAGAGTAGAGGGGCAGGAGAACCTCTCTGCCCTACAACCACCCCTCCTGATACACCCCAGGATGGCGTTGGCCTTCTTGGCCACAAGGGCCCAGTGCTGGCTCATGGTCATCCTGCTGGCCACCAGGACCCCAGGTCCCCTTCCCCTACGCTGCTCTCACTTGCAGTGGGGTAAGCAGCACTCCCCAGCTATGGCAAGGATCACTGAGGACCTGAACACCAAAACCAGAGCTGGAGCACCTCGGATGAGATCAAGAAGAAGACAAGAAGGCAGGGAAGGGGGCTCTCCTCCTAGGCACTAGTGATCCGGTGGCAAGAAATAAGGCTACACTTGGAGAGGCTGGGAATGAGGAATACAACATTCTCACCATGTCCCAACACTGGACCTGTTATCAAATGAAAACAACTCTCAGGAAAATACAATGTGTGCTTTTCCAACTCACAATATTTACACTTCTCTGAAGGGAATACATTGACACTGATTCGTTACTACACTAAGCTCATCCAGGGTTTGTGTTTCCAGGCATTCAAATCACTTCCTACCACCATACTATCTACAACGTATCTTGTTTTAAATACCTAGCAGACAAAATGCACACGCAGCATATATCTGAAGACTGAGGTATTTTATAGCTCTTCTTTCTACCAAGATCATTATACACAGAGGTCCATGCCACGCTGGTATGTGTGCCGCAGATACCCGACAGCTCTGTGTCTGGTGAAGGGTCTGATACACAGAGCAGGGCACTCAGGATGAAAGCACAAGCTGCAGAGATGCCAAGCAAAACCACAAGGAAACAAGACCTGCTTAGGAAAGCAGGAGGAGAAATACAGCCAGACAGCCTGCATTTCCCCACAGGGCCAGGGAGCAGACACAGCTCAGCTGTCTATGCAGATACAGATGCTGCTTTTTCCCCCAGGAGAATTACCATGGGCTAAAACCTCCTGCTCAGGGTTGAGATTTGGACCTCAGCCCTGCCAGTGCCGCGAGGCATCGTGGTACTGGAGATGGAATAAACACACGAGAGCGGTTTCTGTTCCTCGCTGCAGTCTGTTGCGCGCGTCTGGCACAAGAGAACTGCAGCATTCTGGTGGCAGCGCGTGATAAACATTTGCTCAAATACTTTCCACAGCGAACAGGTTACATTTCTGCCAGTGCTGTGCTCTGCACAAGTGTCCCAGTAAGGGAATACAAACCTCTTCCCGTATCCCGCTTGAGAGGGGAGACAGGCAAAGCCAACTTGGGAAGAAAAAAAGCAAAGCAACATTGCATTCTGGCCTAAAATATTATTTTTGCTTCTCAAAAGTAAAACCCCAGCTAACATTTAACGA